GGTTGGCAGGTTAAATCCCCACAGCCAACCCCCTCTCAATATTGAAATCAGATATCATGGTTTACTTAAAATACCAATCAATTATAGGCTTGGATTGGACTATTAATTTACTGGTCACCCAAAGAGGTGGCTTCGGGTCTGACTGCCCCTCCCTGGACTCAAGTCTACAGACATGTCCGTGTTGTAGACAATCTTGAGGATATGCACATTTTAGATTTCTTGAGGTCAATTACCCACCACCTGTCGTATTAAAATATGAAATCAGGTATCACTGATTAAGTATCAATTGTTGTCGTATTAGAGTATGAAATATTAAAATATGAAACTGTTTACCTTATCTGTGTGGATCCTTTTGGTGGTGTGAGAATGACCTATGGTGGAAATGACCCATGGGGGGATAAGACCTCGGCTAGCTGGCTGAGGGGGGACTAGGTGCGAGACCCACTTTGAGACAGCTATATTGCCTTTTTAAATCAGAATCACCGAGTGGGTCGCTAAGAATGAGCTTCCATGCTGGGTAGGATCCTTCATCTTGCCAAGCACTGTTTTTGTATAGTCGTGTGTGCACAAATTTCAAATGCTTTCATCAGTCAAGTCAATACTCATATTGCAAACTGAGGCACACCTAACGCGACATAAAAGAGAGATTGTAAAATTGCTTTATTCTTTAATGTGATCGATTTTGCATGATCAGTGTTTCAATGTTGTCAGTTAAATTCCAACGTGCTTTATAAAAACCTTAATTCAAAATACGCGGTCCGCAATTTCGACTTTCTTTCCGAGATTTCTCAGATATTAATTACCAGTTCATAGACTGTCCCTGTTGGATCGTCCATGTTCAAACATAAGATGACACTGGTTTTAAAGTCTATTTTGAATCCCCCATTGTGTCGAATGTAGGCCAAGCACATCAGTTCGCGCTAACAGAAAATTGACTAATAATTAAGAGGCACTTGATGATAATATATATTGATCTATAAGATAACGCCAGAATTATAGGAACATATTTTCAGCCACATGGTACAGCTTCTAGTTCCTAATGTGGGAAATATTACTTGATTTAATCCATGAGCATGAACCGAGCGTGCCACAGAACATGTGTCCATCGTGAAAGAGAGTCCTTGTCCAACCTATCTCCTCCCTGAAAAAACTGGAGCAACGTTAACCCCAACTTGGTGCCAAATAATGTACGTCAGTGAGCTAGACAACCTTAATTACACTCATAATTGGCTCCAGGTGGCCTGAGAGGTTATTAATCTCTCACAGTCACAGGTATATATGAGCGTCTCTTATTGACTTCCCAGCGGCCAGATTGGCATCACTGATACTGAAATTTTGTAAAACAGACATACCGTGTTGGGATTCTGGGTTAAAATTGGTCCCACAGAATCTGTTTGTCGTAAAACGCGACTGAATGGATGGGACGGTCAGGCTCGGTGACTTGATTGATTGCGTGTCAGCCTACAGTGACGTAGGACGTTGCTCATCATATCAATCACCGTTTGTCACCCGTGCTTGTGGGTTTCACTGAGGTGGTAAATGTACTTCGGGCTTTCCTCCCACATTAAGCTGACACGCCGTGATATACTGGAATACGGTTCAAAGAAGTGGTGAATCAAACACACTCACTCACTCACTGTCAACATGTACGTTTTTTTTTACTTAGATTTACTTTAACTACAAAATTAATAGGACGTATACTCGGGTCGATTGTCAGTCCTAACAAGCGTCCTTAAACTCATTGAAAAGCCAGTGTGTTTGTTTGGTAAATCATATTATATGATGACTTACATTCATTGTCACAGTTTTACTCAGTGCACTAATTACAACGATAAGACTACAGAATATATATGAGCACTAAACATTGGAGTATGATCTCTTTGGGAAATCGTTATACTACGAAATGCCCAGGCATTACCTGAATGAGACGAACACCTTAGTCCCAGAAACAAAGTTATCTTCATCTAAAATTATAAAACGCTTATAAATATGCTTTATTTTAGTACTGAGGCAATCTAGACATGGCAAAACATTCTAGACTTAAGTTGGATTTGTTTTGTAATATATTATCCATGGTCTGGGTGACTATGCATGAATACGCCATTCGTAATATAAGCATTGTACATGTGACTTTATATTCATGGTTAAACTTTCGGTTGTGTCGTGCCGTTTCAGCTTGATGTGGGAGGAAAGCCAGAAGTGATAAAAGACGTTTACCAATTTGATGAACAAGCGCGGGGATGGTGCTGACAAACCTAGCAACATAATGAGTCCGAACCGGGATTCTAACGCACTATCATAGGTGTTTGGCACTCCTAAGTGACAACTTTGCTTTGATTTGCGTCGCCTTTAACGTATGGTCCAACAATCTTCTGTTATCCAACAGAAGTACCACTATAAATGAAGCGACTAGCTTCGACGACTTGGCTACCTTTGACTCCAATCTTATTACAATCAGATCTTAGTTATCGCTATATCTAAGCAAAGACCTGAGGACATCCCATTACGGGTCAGGTCAGAACGACCTTTCATCCGACCAATCAGAGCGTCTCTTACCAGATCATGAAAGTGACAGTCGGAATTTGTTTTCTAATCATGCAACCTCGAACAACTTAACAGGAAATATTCCCAACGACAGTTACAGGCTTTATGACTGAATCCATACAACCTAGGCCACCTATTAACGATTTCAGTATGTTCTTTTGTTCAGGTTTTAAATTTTTAATCGCGAATTTTTCAAAATATGTTTCGAAGCGTAGTCGCCAGTTTGAAACTAGTGCCGTGAAACACGAGCAAGCTGCCTTTTGGTTGGCTAATGTCGACTTCTTGCATTGTCAGTTATTCCATTGGTCGGTCAAAGTTCGCGAAAGGTCTGTCTGACATGTCCGTTATGGGATGTTCTGAGATCTTTGTTTAGCGGTAGCGAGATCTAAGATCTGAATTTTTATGAGATTGCCCGTGATACCTCAAATGAGAAAGGCAAGCAGTACAAATTCATTGTAATGTCAAGACAGACAGGGCGCCGGTATCACAGGACCATATGATCCCCTTCCATGTGTCAAACGCTCGGATACGTAACATGGTGTTAACATATGTTCGGTATTATCTCGCTCACAGTTTGTTTTCAACCCGCAGATAATGGCAGTAAGCAACTAGTAATATTAACAACGCTTCTAAAGTGTTATCATTTAGTGAGGCCGCGAGGTATTAGCGAGATCCTACTTGAGAGCACTCACGGTTAAACCGGATAAGGTCAGCCGACATGTTATTAAATACCACACGCATTTAGTTATTGTTTGGACTTTTGTTAATACGATGTTATTGAAAATCCTTATACTTAGTATATGTAATTATCAATTTATAAACAAATGCTCATCCGGTATGTGAAATTTGATATAATCGCTACAACTTAGCGACTACAAATGCAGCTTAAAGAATTGAAATGGAGGAATAATAAAAGAACAAATCACATTGTATTATACATGTGTGTCTTGATTATAGTATGTGTGTATTAATATAGATGTCATTGTCTTCGGAAATGGTGAAACGGCTGAGACCCACATCCCTTCTGGCTTTCTTTTGACCGTAAGCTGACTCGACGTGCCACAACTGGAATACTGTACCAAGCGGAGTTAAAAGCAATTCAGTCACTCACTTTTATGAAACGCGTCATGCATTTGACACGCAATATCGATCTATGCTTCGTCTACTATAGACATTATGCAAGCGTTAAGTATCCTCCGCGTCATGTAATTTCATTACATTATGTCTTTGACAAGTCTTAGAAACTGTACAAAGAAGTGCCGGGAGCGCATGTTCGTTAGTCACATCAAAGGAATCTATATGTTCAAGGTACTAGCTACTTATGTGTAAATAACCCACTCAGCCACTGAATTCTGATCATGCATGAAGCGCTTGAATGAGGTTTGTTTTGCAAAACCTACCTTATTTCTGAAAGATCAGGGATAGATAAGGTTTAGCTGAACGTTCGATTTACAGGTCACATGTCAACATGATTAGAGCTGTTTTGATTAATATAAATCGATATCTCGTGGCATGATATGTCATTATTCTACATAATGTACGTTTTGGCTACTCAGGCGGTGATTGAAAGTAGTTCGTTCTGAAAGTCAGTTACTGTATATTCTATCGTAACATTGACAAGATGAATGAAATGGTGCGGAAGCCTAAATGGAAATGACTACCCTTGCTTTACAGGAATCTTTGTAGATTATACTCAAAGTAGGATCTTGCAAGACGTAAGGGTTTGATATTTTCATCTGGACATGTCATGCGCCAAATCGTTTGTAAGCATATGCATTAGGCAACTGGATGAAAAGTAGCTAATAAAGGTGAAGCCGGTCCTGTGTGTAGTAAACAACAATTGCCATTTGAACTCATTAGGCTTTACAGTCAATGAAAATGCAGGTATACTGACAGAGACTTGATGTAATTTGATTTTGGTATTCGTTATGTGAGGCCAGGTCCATCGGTCAACAGTATAACATCGGTATAACAGCAGTTTACCCAAATGAACCAGTTGTTCAAAGCGTGCTAGTAACTGATTGACATATTCATTGGAACATAGCGGTGTAACTCTAGGGCAGCATAGACAAGTGTTCTGTATATGCAATACGGTGAAGTAGGGCTAGAGGATGAATATGAGAACTGTTGGAACAATCTTGTGAGTTAACTGTGATAGGACAGGAGAACTTGTTTGTTACTTCAGAGAAACTGAACACTCTATATATATCTTCAACATTTTTATGAGTTCTGTAAGATTTATTAATGCGCATAAACAATAAAATGAACTTTTTTCATCACAGGGAAAAGTAAAAACATAATCGAAAGGGATAAAAAATCAATTTATCATTATTGCTTGTGACATTTCTGATATACAGATCACACTATATTAAAACATGACAGCTTTAGTGGAAAATTAGACACGGAAATATGATGTAATAATGAATAATCGATTTTGATTAATTTCTGGATTGCAGATTCCGTATGTCATCCGGACGCCGGCAGTCAGCAGTAAATGAGAGCCCATCGCCCAGTGCAGTAAGGGACTTGCTCTGTCGACCGAGTAGCGAGATTATCGGCTGTGCCCGCAAGACTGTCGGACCGACCAACCAACAGCTCGATGTTCCAGCGTTCATGCTCTACTCGGAGGGTATCAGCTCCTCGGAACTAGTGCCTCGCTCTTCGCTGTCCGGCATCGAGTGATAGCTATGTGCGGACAATGGAACACTCTAACAGGACTACCTACGATGTGTCATCCATGCCAGGTAGGAATGCTGGCAATACCGACAACGGAACAACGGACAGCAGCTATACGACGGATTTATCTGTCAACACTGAGGTGCCGGTCAGCGAGATTTCTCTCAGTACGGAGTTTTTCAATACGACAAAAGTTTTTCAAAGTTTGGATGCATATGTTAACACAAGTGCCCCGCTGGAAACCAGTACTGTGTCGGAGTTTCTTAACTTCACGGAATCTTTTACACAATGGAATACGACAGCCACAACTATAAGCGACAACTTCACGTTTGATTACTATAATTCAACTAATTTCACCGATCCATCAAACTCGACAGCAACCGGGCCGTTGTTTAGCACCCTAGAGGTGGTTGTGATCTCTATCGTGGTGTCAGTGCTGTGTGTGTTGACGGCGGGAGGTAACCTGCTTGTCATCATAGCTTTTAAGGTGGAAAAACAACTACAAACTGTCAGTAATTATTTCCTTTTAAGTTTGGCTGTGGCAGACTTTACCATCGGTGTCGTCTCCATGCCTTTTTATACTGTCTATCTTGTGATGGGGTACTGGCCACTGGGCCCCGAGATGTGTGACATATGGTTGTCTCTGGACTATACCATGAGCAATGCCTCCGTAGCCAATCTCATCATCATCAGTTTTGATAGGTATCTTTCCGTGACAAGGCCTCTCACCTATCGCGCCAACAGGACCTCCAGAAAGGCCTTGACAATGATATTCTGTGCTTGGGTCATATCAGCAATGATGTGGACTCCATGGATATTTGCTTGGCCCTATATCGAGGGGCAGAGGACCGTTCAGTATAATGACTGTTATATTCAGTTTTTGAAAACAAATAAATACCTCACGATCATAACAGCAGCACTGGCATTTTATATTCCCGTGTCCATCATGGTGATTCTGTATTATAGGATTTTTCTTGAAACCCAGAAAAGACAGAAGGATCTCCCTAAGCTCCAGGCTGCTAAGAGATATTACGGCAGCAAAAAGTCCACCATATCCAGTGACGAGGAGGGTTACTCAAGTGTCAGTGAAAAACGAAGTCATTCATCCCCCGAGCTTCAAGACATAGAGGAGTATTCTCGGAGGACTGAAAGAACTTCGTGTAGGAGTAAATTGTTGTCGTGTCTCAAAATAGATAGAGACTCGGATTACATAGAGGAATCAAGTACAAGTGACCCTCCAGCTTCGCCGGGGAATTCTAACGTGGTGACAACATCAACCACCAGTGCTGGTCAAAGTATTCTCCGGGCCAATTTTCCATCACGGTTCCGACAAAATAGTGCTAGCAATAGTTTAGCTTTAAACCGGACCCCTAAAACAGACGGTGTGAGCTGCAGTGGATCAATGATCCCTTTACTTCCGGTGGAGACTCCTTCCCCATTCCCCTCACCTGGTCCTCCGCCTCCCTATGACATCACTACATCATTTTCCCGCCAAAACAGAGCGCCGTCTGCCCCACCTCTGTACGAAACAGACCAAGACTGTGCAACAGACGACAGAAAGGAGACATTGTACACTGTCCTGATAAAGCTTCCACGGGACGATTCAACGGACTCGGAGAACAAACCATCTATACGAATGATACCCGATAGCGATGCTGATAGTATTTGTGAGTTGACGCCTTCTGTGCCACGCCACATTGATAGCGATTCTAGTGACGGCAGCCAAGCGGACAACTCCGACGACCTTGACCGAGACAGGGGATTACCTCCCCTTCCACCACCGAAAGGAACCCCTGCCTTGGGAAGGCGGGCTCAAAGCAATGATCAAACTAGACATGCTATGCAGCAACGCATGGCAATGAAAGTAGCCAACAAAGTTCGGAAGCAACGAGCACGACACAAAATGCATTCAAAACGCCACGAACGGAGACAGGATCAAAAAGCGGCTAAAACGCTGACCGCCATTTTGTTGGCTTTCATAGTAACGTGGACGCCCTATAACATCTTTGCTGTCATCATGGTTTTCTGCAATGGATGTATAGATGAGACTCTATATGCCATTGGTAAGATTAACTTTTATTTTTCACACTGGCATAAGATAATTTTTGGTTTGGGTTTTGGAAGCATAAAGGCCACTTCTAACATGAAAGGTTTTCGAGAATAATTTTTAAGCTTACTCAATTCATCTATGGGGTTTTGTCAAAAGGTTCTTTTGGAATACAAAATGCGAAGTACATTTCAATGTTGTATAATCATGAAACATATACCTAAGTTGTTTTCGATTCATCCATTCTATGATATTGGCCCTTGTGTCTCTAAAAGCTGAAAGTATTACATTTTCCTTTTCAGCTAAAGGGTATTGTTTTCGTTACGTCATGGCACACATACCCATATTGATATTATGTTATTACAAACTTTGACATTATTTGTTATACATTCTAGGATCTAGCTATGACTATGAGTGATAAGGAAATGTTTATGTATCTTATCTGGTAATGAAGTTTCTATAGCGCCCCCGTTCTACAGCGCCACCTGTGTGCTATTACATTTTCAGTCCCACTTAATATTTGCAAGAGTGCCGTGCAAATATTATAAGTCGTCGATTAATACCTTTGACATTTGACCTTTTTAAATATTTGATTAAGCTGAGTAATCAGAAACTATACTAGACGCACATGTATATGGAGCGTCAGATATGATCAAAGCAACACGGGGTTTGAGGAGAAGCCTTACAACAAACAAAAGCCTAAAGCACCTCGTCGATATGATTTGCAGCCATCACAAAGGAAATATGTAGTATCAGACCATACTGTGTAAATTTGCAGTAAGAATACATGGCTAAATACTGTAAATATGATTTTAGAACGAGCCATAAAATATCTGATATTTCTTATACATTTTATAACAAAAGCATGCATCATGTCTACAAAGTGAAACTTTATTATCACCTGTCCTTTACTCTCGTAATCACAATTCATCTCAACATATATGGATGACCATCTCATTCGTTAACTGGTATTCGTTTCTGGCAGATCCATACTGAGGTCTAATATTTGAGTTGAACCAGATGGATAGGACACATTCATAATGAACATGGTTATATCGGTTCTAACACGTAAACACAATGGCAATAGATCTCTCCTGATTATCCAGTGAAGCAGATACGGTCTTGTTTGAATCAGTGTCAAGTTGTAGTCCTTTCATTCAGCCACGGCATGCGTGCTCGGGTCATAGTAACACAGGGTTTGGCTGATATTCCAGGATGTAATGAAAGCTGCCAAATTGGCCCTAATCTACATCTTGCTGACACTGTCTTTATGGATACTCCTTAGAGCAATATCCTTTGTCATGATCTGCACTTACCTTATCTTTGACGCGTATTTCAAACTGAAATCTAAATCTATGAAGCCAGGTCCATGAAGGTTGCAACGAATGTCCATGTGATAAGAAAAAAATGTATGCTGAAATACTCATGTTCTGTCCAGAAGCATTGATTGCATAAGGTATGCTCTGTATGTAACTGTTGAACATTCAAATTAAAGGACGTCAGCTCAATAGAACCGTATTTTCAGTCATGCGCTTTTCTGACCAAGACTTTTGTGGCCTTATTCGACCCTAATATCCACTACTATACAAACGGCACTGGCAAATTCGTTGATCCTTCTATCCTTCTATTCTCTGTACCACACTAAGGAAAAACAAGTTCAGCCATCGTTTCGAGTTACATAGAAATCACTTGGAAATTATTATATTTTGTCCTTTGACAGTACAAGTTCGTTAGGTACTTCACTGCCTCTACCATTCACAAAACCTACGCCTGTGATTAATCTGTTTCTGGGTTCGAATCCCGGTTCGTCCGATTCTATTTCTAGGTTTATCAGGACCATACTGAAGTGGTAAACGTCTGAGACATGCATCACTTCGGACTCTCCTCCCAGTTTAAGTTAACAGGCAGTGATATAACTGGAATACTATTCAAAGTGGCGTTAGACTCAACTCACTCACTCAACAATGTTGTGTTGCACCCCCTCAGATGAAATGTGGTCTGCCCTTTAAAAGGAATAAGTACCGAGCCTGGGTCAAAGAGTGACATTACATTTAAAGTGGTAGCGTCAATGTGCAACTCCAAGTGCTCAGTAGGTATTCTTATTTCACCAGTCCAATTTAGTGTAGGCTGTTCTTCGATATTATCTCTAACCTAACATGACCTTAAACTCTGGAATTAATCTTTCTTTTACATTTCATGAACTTACATAAAACATTGTATCACTCACCCGTTTAAAGGTACCTGGATCATTGTTGTGTCGTTGGCTCAGTGCAGTTATTATTTTACCTTCATTGATATTGCAGTGGTTATACGATTCCATCGGTAACATTTAACCTTAGCATCACTGTCTAGGGTTAGACTAACTGATGGTGTAAAGTGTGTTTTCTTCTTGTCTAATGTGTAACAATATCTTTTCACGTCTACCATGCAAAAATCATCTTTATGTCATCCCTGGGATAGTCATTGTGTTATGTTTCTGCTTCAAGAGCAACCACATCGACTAGCTGGAGTGCATTCCTTATATAGTAGGTGATGTAATAGTACATTCCACAACTGGATAAAGCACATTACCTGTATTATCTAGTTGAATAAAGCTCTTTTCATATATTACCCAACTGGATAAAGTGCATTTCTTATGATACCTTCCTTGAGCGCATTCCCTATATTACCCAGCTGGATGAAACCCATTCCTTAAATAACCCATCTGAATGAAGTACATTCTCTTTATTACCCATCTGAATAATATGCATTCTCTATATTACCCATCTGGATTAACTCGTTCCGTATATTACCTATCTGAATAATATGCATTCTCTATATTACCCATCTGGATTAACCCGTTCCTTATAGTACCTATCTGAATAATATGCATTCTCTATATTACCCATCTGGATTAACCCGTTCCGTATATTATCTATCTGAATAATAATTATGCATTCTCTATATTACCCATCTGGATTAACCCGTTCCGTATATTACCTATCTGAATAAGGTGCATTCTCATATATTACCTATCTAAAAAAATGCATTCCCTGTATTACCCAGCTGGATTAAACCCATTCCCTATATTACCCAGCTGGATAAAGCACTTCCCCAACACTAACCATCTGATAAAGCACATTCCTTATACTATCCATATAGATAGTTGATGTTTTATATTCCCCTGTAACTACCATGCAGTGACCACTGATTTACCTAAAGACGTAACCCGTGAAGACCCGGGGTAGAATAGGTCTTCAGCCTTCATGCTTGCCGTAAAAGGTGACTATGCTTGTCGTAAGAGGCGACTAACGGGATCGGGTGGTCAGGCTCGCTGACTTGGTTGATGCATGTCATCGTATCTCAGTTGCGTAGATCGATGCTCATGATGTCAATTACTGGATTGTCTGGTCCAGGCTCGATTATTTACAGACCGCCGTCATGTAGCTTGGATATTGCCGCGTGCCGAGTGTGGCAGTAAACAACAAACAAACAAACCTAAAGATGACAATGCCTTCATGCTCTCACTGACATACCAATGTAATCATATAGATTTGGGTTTACTTTTTAGTGTCAAATATGCAGTCATTTAAAATGTCGTATTTAAGTAGCAATATTTATGCAACCTGCATTACTGGTGAGTCAAATAGTGCTTATGTCATGAAAGTGATAATGTCAGGTCAACCTTAAAATACCGCCAGTTCACAAAGGCACATTTACATTCAAGATCTCTTCGGAAAAGTCATAAATATGCGCACCATACGTTAACGAGAACAAGGCTAGATACATTGGCAGCCCTAACAAGTTTGAATAAAGTCCTCCAACATCGATTTATACAACTACCAACTCAAATTTTATCATGTATGCCAATCGAACAGGTAATGACGTACACAAAGCCCCTCTATCAACAAGACCTATTTAAAAGCTAGTGTTTTGTAAACTCCTTGCATGACATTCAGCTTGTGGCATGGTTTGGCAGTCATGATCATAACTATGCAACCCTTAAAAGTCCAACGATACCCAGAAAGATGGACCATATATCTTACTTTACTTACGTTTAAACAACCAATGTCATATGATGTGAAATTTGATTTCGCTTCCTGGTTGGTTAAAAATGCTTTCGTGATTTAACTATTATTTGAAACATTTTAGCTGTAAAACGTAGGACTCACCAAGCGTGTGGCCATGTCAGATGATAAACGATCCTCCTGTGCAATAAAATATCCTTGAATTTTTCAGAATATGAACGTTTTATGCAAACGATTGCAGTATAATTTGTGTATCCTTGGGGAACGAACCGGTTAACAATGTTTGAGATAAGGGATGTGAGCATTTTAGAAGCACCAACGATAATGCTACCTTTTTTATTTAAGGGCAATTGTAAATAACGATAATTTCTACGGTGATATTAAAATGAGGATATAACTAGAAGTATCAACGCTACAAGTCTCTTAAAATAGAGTTTCAGATATACACAATAAAGCCTCGCAAGCTTTTCGGCAAATACATTGAGTGTGAAAGTTTGGCTTTGAACAATATTGCAGTAGTCACGGCATGTCAACTTGATGTGGGAGGATAACCCGAAGTGATACAGGTCTTTGACGTTATCACTTTGGTGAAACCCACGAGCATGGCTAACAAACGTGTAACATCATAAATTGAATCTGGAATTCTTAGGACTAAACCGAATTTGGGCGTATGTCCATTTTCATATACACTCACGCATAGATAATTGATACAGAAATCACCAGGGTCATTTATAGAAATACAGACCCAATATGGTTAATATTATATGAAAAGAAACTGATACACGTTTAATCTATTGAATAAAATGGACAATATACTGTAGTGACATTGTACACAGGTTCAAGGCTGTGATGAACATGCGGCTTTACAGTAATTTGTCATGAAGCATTTACCATGCGCGAGTCTATTTAGGTCGGGCCGGTTGAAAATAGCTTTAATCAATCTTATCGTTTGGACTTTAATTAAACATGCCAGAGTAGACACGAACTTACTTTCAGAGCAGCGTGTCAC